AACTACTGAATCTTCTTCTTTGTTCCCAACTTTTGCATTCCAGTCACCCATTATTATCAATGCATCTTGATTGCATGTTTGATCAATCTCCGATTGTAAAAGTTGGTAAAAATCTTCTTTCTCCTCTTCCTTGGCTCTGGTTGTTGGTGCATATATTTGAATGATATAGTGGACTCATTAAAAAAATCTGTCTTTTTTGTAACTGTCTTATTTAACTCTACGTAACATTTTCAAGGTTTATCTGTATTGTAGCATGTACAAGAATTTAATTTTTCCTCATGTGATAGTTGATTGTATTTACTATGTCCCATAGTATGTCCTATGTATGTCCTATAGTTTGTTTATTCATTCATCTGTCAATGGACATTTCAGTGTTTCCAACTTTTGCCTCTTGTGATTAGTGCTGCACTGAACACTGGTGTATATGGTGTGTCTGTTTACTCTCTTGGAGTAGAATCACTGGATCATATGGTAATTCTGTGTGTGACTTTCTGAGTGAGTGAACAGTTAAATCAAACTAAAATATTTTAAAGATTATTCCTGAAATAGTAAGAGATTAATTATTTGCACTACAAAAATATTTTCATTTCCTTGAAATATCATTTTAAAAAATTCCCTAAACACTTTTGGAAAATGGCTACACCTAAACGCAGTTCTTTTCAGCAAACCTTTAGATTTATTATTTTATTATCCATCCTAAGCACAGTAGAAGCTGGTTGGGATATCTACATAATTATCTCAGTGCTCCTCACTCCTCTTCCCTTTGGCTGTAGTGACCTTGCTTTATTTATGAGTCTGTATCAGAAATGTTCAACATCTCAGTATGGAGAAGTCAAATTTAATCCCTAGTTTTTGGTTGAGGAATGGACACTAACTCTGCATAGTTAAGATTGCCTGCTATCAGGAACAATGGGTTCCTGCTGAAAGCTTCTCTGGGTGCTGTTTTGTTACACACAAAAATAAAATAATGTCTTCTGTAACATGCACTGAAAATTTGAGAAAATGGGGAAAAAGCAACCAACAAAACAAAACAAAGAACTTACTCGTGTGGTCTTGATTTTATTGCCTGTAGCACACATCCATCCAGAGTTGTCAGGTAGCGTCTTACACTCTTCCCCCTCTAGGCAAGGCTCCATTTCACACCACCATTTTCCAATCACGATGGAGGCTGTGCAAAACCAGAAACAACAGTATTTGTGATTAATTCACACAAACTGAACCCCTACCTTGTCCTTGTGCGAAGGTGAATGCTTTTTCAAATACACAATAAAGAGCCTGCTATTCTCTTTTGCAACTGGTGAAGAAATTTATGTTAGGGGGGAAAATGGGATTTTTCATTAATAAGTCCAAAAATATAACATAATTTGGCCTCATTAAGTAGCATCTTACCTAAAATCTTTATGTAGGTTGAAACAAATGGACTGGGATCACTTTCTTTTTGATTCTTGAGAAATTTAATTTTTGTTTGTTAATTTTTGTTGGTCATGGACATTGCACTCTTTGTTTCCAGAAAGGGAGAAGCTATCAGAAATAAAGGCCCTTCAGAAATAGCTGCCTCATTCTTTCCAGAAAGTAGCCACACAATTTTAATGGGCTAATTCCCAGAGTTTCTAAGAACTTCATTGACCCACCAAAAGAATAAGAAGAAAAAGCTGAAAGTGAAAATGAAAGGCTGTAAAATAAAACCAGAGTAATAATAAATGAAATTACTTGTTTACATACAGAAGTATATTTAATATGAAATGTGGTCACATTAAAATGATGTGATGTGGGTAGAACTTTCAAAAGTTGAGTCTCTGATAAAACAGCCTTACTTTTTGGGACAAAATCAAGTATGACCACAATTGAAAGCTGGTCGTAAAATAAGTGTTTATGTTAAAAACCAGTGAGTAGACTCATTAAATACAAATCAAGGAGATCCACACCTTCTTGAATGTGCTGTGTAACAAGTGAATTCTGCAAAAGCGCCAGTAATTTTTTTAGTTTACCATGACAACCGTGCATCATAAGTCTACCAGGCCTTCTCCATTCATCCTCTCCCAGGTGTCCATCCACCTTCTTTCTGTATCAACACTGTCTCAAAGGACTGTTTTTACACTAGTCTAAAAATGTAGTTCTTTTTTTAACCTACTCTCTACACACCACAAATGAATCTCCACCATGATGTTTATTTCCTACAGCAAAGAAGCCAAATGACATCTGTTAATTATCATTAAAATGAAAGGAAGTAAACTTTGCAACAAAACATCAGCATATTAGAATTCTCTAAACATCCAGCATTCACTGGAAGAATTAAAATCAGAATGTTTAAAAAATTCAGACATCTGCATTTAGTTTTTCTTTCTTTCTTCTACTTTTTCCTTACGTCAATCTTTCTTTCCTTGCATGTTCAAGGTTGCACTAACTTTACTTTGAGTAAAAATTGCTATGCAGGATTATATATGCAAAATCATATGGACTCTGTTGTGTTGAAAATTTAAAGAATGTTTTTATTTCTTTATACTTTACTGTAATTTAAGGGAAAATTTACAAAGCAAATTGGTTTTTCATGAAAACATTAATCACATTTTGTCTTATAAAATGATTCACCATATCCACAGTGTAATCACACTCTGTTCTCACTTTCACTTGTTCCTACTAATATTTCTGTTCCATCTCCTTTTCCTGCCCTTTTGTATTTTATCCCTAGAAAACAGAAGCTTTTGTCTTTGTATTCGTGAGTATTCTAAGGAATGACCACTTACTGGTATTACTGTTCACCTTAAGCATATAAGTCTATTTTTCAGTTGAAACTACAGTCTTGGGGATGAGTTTTGTTCCTTCCAGGTTGAAGGGTGACTAGGGCCACACACAGTCTCTGATGTTCTAGCAGTCTCCAGCAGATCAGCAATCTGGTCACTTTAATTTTTTTTTTTTTTTAGTTTTGTTCCAGATTTCCCCCTACCCTATCCAGGATTTTGTAGTGTTCTCTTCTAGAGAACACTAGTCAGCATTGCACCTAGTTCTTCTGATCTCAGGTTGTGAAAATAGAAGTTGGTGAGGTTCTTTAGTCCTTTGGATTACTTGTTTCCATACAACTTTGCTTTCCCTGTCCCCTTCTTCATGTCAGATATGACTAGGTCAAGAATTGCATCTTAAATGACTGCTTTAAAAGACTCTAGTCCCTATTTACGAGAGCTATTGTTGTTGTTGAGTACCATCCAGTAGGAACCAGCCTATAGCTGACCCAGCAGGAGGTTTTCAGAGACAGTAAATCTGACAGGAGGATATGCACATCTTTCTCTTGTGGAGCAGATGGTGGATTTGAACCACATGCCTTTGGGATTGAAGGATAGTTTCTCACCATTAGGCTACCAGTGCTTACCAAATTAAGATGTGTAGTACTGTATTTGAGGACTATGCTACACCAAATGTCTTTAATAGTCCCAGAGACTATTGTCCTAAGGCACCAGGACCAGAAATTTATTCTCTCAGAAAGTTTAGTTCTGATGAAAATTTTTACTTAGATTTTTCTCTTCCTGGTTCAGCTATATGTTATTGTTGTTATTTGCCATCATGTTGCCTGCATCTCACAGTAACCTTATGTACAGCAGCTCTGAAGCTTGATTTGTCCTTAGCTAGTCTCACTTATTCTGATACACCAACCCCATTGCTCTGGTTACTGTATCAATCCATCTCATCTGGGGTCTTCCTCTTCTGCCCTGTCCTTCCACACTTCCAAGTATGATGTCCTTCTCTCAGGTCTTGTCCCTCCTGAACACATGCCCAAAATATATGAGACAGAGCTTAAAAATCCTAGCTTCCAAGAAGGAACTTGATTTCACCCTCTCTAAGACAGATCTATTTGTTTTCTTGTCATTCCATGGTATGTTCAAGACTCTTCTCCAGCACCACAATTTGAAGTCATTGATTCTTCTTCTATCATCCTTAGTCATTGTGCAGCTTTCTGATGCATGACAATATATAGATGGATATATTTCTAGAATATACTGATGTGAATGTGGAACTATGATCTGTCAAATATATGTATCACCTTTCATGTGTCAGTTAGCCAAATTGTGGTGGTTTGTGTGTTGCTGTGGATCTGGAAACTATGTCACTGGAATTTCAAATATCAGCAAAGTTACCCATGGAGGCCAGGTTTCAATAGAGCTTCCAGACAAAGACAGATTGAGAAGCAGAAACGAAACCAACAGGCCTTGGGAAACTTCATGGACAATAGAAGAACACTGTTGGATATAGTGCTGGGAGTAAGCCCCTCAGATTGGAAGGTAATAAAAATGTGACTGGGAAAGAGCTGCCTCCTCAAAGTGATGCAGATGGAATAAGCTCTCAGGCAGTGCTGATGTAGGAATACTAAAAATGAAGGGGAACAGCTGCAGACATATATTAATAATTAGAATATGGAGTGTAAGAAATATGAATCCAGGAATTGGAAGTTGTAAAGAATGAAATGAACATAAAGATAGGTGTTAGTGAGCTGAGACAAGCTGCTATTGCTCATTTTGAACCAGACAATCACATGACCTATAGACTGAAAGAGATAAATTGAAGAGGAATGTGGTTGATTATCAAAAAGAGTATTTGAAGATACATCATGAGGTTCAATTCTGTGAGTAATAGATACACTGTACATGCATACAAGGAAGTCCTATTGGCACAACTATTATTAAAACATATGCACCAAACATGAAAGCCAAAGATGAAGAAATGAGTATTTACACCAATTTTTGCAGTTTGAAATCAATGGGACATCCAATCTAGATGCACTAATATTAACTGGTGACTGGAATGCAAAAGTTGGAAACAAAGTATTTGGAAAATACAGTCTTGGTGACAAAAATGAGGCTGAAGATCAAAAGACAAAATTTTATGCAATGAATGATATATTAATTGCAATTATTTTTAAGGCCCATAAGTGGAACCTATTCACTTGGAGTTTACCTGATAGGCTACTCAGAAATCAGATTGCAAAAATCTGCAAAAAGACACTTTGGAAAGGTCAATACCAGCAGTCAAAACCAGACCAAGAGATGACTGTGAAACAAGCCATCAATGACTCATTGTCCAGTTAACATTGAAGTTGAAAGTAAGTGTATCTCAACTAAAGTAAAAAAAAAAACCTCTTAAGAATATATTTGCTACATTAAATAGTAATGACAGTAGACATGAGTTGTAGGATGACATCAAGGTTATCATCCATGAAGATAGCAAAAGGTCATTGCAAAGGCAGAGGAGAAATAAAAATTGCTCCAGAATAAAAAGAAGAAGGAGAAAAAAAGGGGGAGGGGGAGAATGTAGAGGTAAGAAACCCGAAGAAAAGGTTTCAAAAGTCAGTTTGTAAAGACAAAGTGTTATAATGAAATGTGCATGGAGGTAAAGTTAGAAAACCAAAAGGGAAGAACAAACTCAACGTTATGCAATCTGAAAGAACTGAGAACAAATTCAAGCCTAGAGTTGTAACATTGAATAATTCTGTGGGGAAAATCTTGAATGATGCTAGATTCTTCAAAAGAAGATGGAAGGATATTACTAAAAAAGAAACTACAGACCAATATCTCTCATTAATATAGATGCAAAAATCCTTAACAAAATACCGGCCAGTAGACTCTAACAGCATGTAAAAAAAAAATTCATCATGACCATGTGAGATTCATAACAGGTATGCAAAGATGTTTTAACGTAAGAACAAAACAATCAATGTAACTCATCACATTAGCAAAGCAAGTAGTAAGAACTACATGACTACAATTGATGCAGAAAAGGCTTTTGACAAAATCCAATGTCCTTTCCTGGGTAAAATGCCCAGCAAAATAGAAATAGAAGGGAATTTCCTCTTGTTGCTGTTGTTATGTGCTGTCAAGTTGCTTGCAACTCATAGTGACCCTATGTACAACAGCCCTAAACCCTGCTCTAACCTGTTCCAATAACACTGCCTCTGACACACCCATCCTGATTTGTTTTCTTAACAGTCCATGGTATTTTCAATACTATTCTCCAGCACTACAGCTCAAAGGCATCAATTCTCCTTCTATCCTTTCCTAGTCATTGTCCAACTCTCTGATGCATAACAAGTGATTGCAAAGACCACAGCCTGTATCAGATGCACCTTAGTCTTCAGAGTGACACCATTGGTCTTCAGTACCCTGGCGAGGTCCCTAACAGCAG